GCGAGCGGCAAGTTCCAGAAGCTCCATGGCAAGTTGGAGAACACCAAAAAGTGGGCAGAGATGGCAGATAAATTAAATTCTCTTGGGGGGGCTGCCAAATCTGTGGAGCAATGGCAAAATGTAAGTATAAGTGATGAAGTACGGGCATTTCCGGAAATGCATTACTGCAAAACATCGCACCTCTGATTCCAAAAATATGTTTGCTGAAATCAGACATTATTATATACTTAAGTATAAGGAGAGGTGCTTTGCAGTAAGGCATTTCCGAAAACGGCCTACACCAAAGAATAGTAAAGTATGAAAGTGTGTTTCTATTTTGCAAAAGGTCTGGCGCGACCTAAAAAGTCGAACATCGACGCGAGTTCGTGATCGTAAGAGAGAGCAAGCATTGACGGGGAATATACCGCTTCAACAGCCTCCCTTGAACGAATTGGAGAAGCGGGTAATAGCTCTAGTGGGAAGCAGCTATATGGAGGGGCAACCGGATGTCCAGGAGAATATTCCCATGGAAGAGGTAAGTTGAATTGTACCGTATTAAAAGCCCATGCCAACATGTTAATCATATTGCAATATTCATTATGCTATTTTTAGGAACTGCAATTAACATTGGGGGCGGCGGATGAAAATTTCCGCTTAGTCATGGAGGAAGACACCATGGTAATTCCTCCACTAACGGTGTCGGATCGCGAGTCGGAAATTCGGTGCGAAACTCCGAAAACGCCGAGGCAAACACCGCGCAGAACCGCTAAGCGGAAACGTGCGGAAGAATCGCCAACAAAGGCGAAATTTTAAGAATTGCCGAGGCACAGGCCGAATCAGAAAAGGTAATTTTTTCAATACTGTATTTGTATTGAATTATTAATAAAACTTTTATTTTCTTAGAGGCTTGCTGAAAGTGCTGCAACCAACGCGGAGGCCAACCGCTCCAATGCTGAGGCAATAAGCAGAATGGCTGCTGCCACAGAGCGAATGGCTACCGTAACTGCAACAATGGCAGAGGCCTTCACGGTGTTGGCGGAGGGGGTGAAAGCTTGTGCGCATGCTTTCGCCCAGTTTACTAATTCACTGGGCCCTCCCCAATAGATGTAAATTGTTTGTGTATATACTTTTCTTTTTCTTTTTTAAGGTTCATTAATTTTTTGTTAAAGTTAAGCTCCTTAGCTAACAAAACCAATATAAGTCCAAATTTGAGACTTTGTACAAAAATTCCACAAACTGTTCTTCACAATTCCAAGCATTTTAATTTTGATTTCTAGAATAATGCAATTTTATAGCTTATTAAAATCGAGTATAATAAAGTGCAAGTTATTCTATAAATTAAAATTATAATGCTTAAGAGGGGACGAAAAGTTTATGTAATTTCTATAATTTTTGTACAAAGTCTCTAATTTGGACCTATATTGGTTTTGTTAGTTAAGGAGCTTAACTTTAACAAAAAATTTATGAACCTTAAAAAAGCACAGAAAAGTAGTCAAAACTGGTAAAAATTTTGATGTGCTATCTTTTGTCGCGGGCTGTATGTATATACATATTTTTATTAATAATAGGCTAGATTATTATTAACTTATTTGTTGGTGCCTTTTTACTTTTTTGTTTTTCAAATGAATTGTTCTTAGTTGAATCTTGTTTTCTGAATTTGTTTATAGTGATAAGTGTTCGTGCCTTGAGTATACGCATTTTTTTTTTAATATTCGCAATGTTTTTTATGCTATAAATTTTTGCTCAGTTTTTTTTTTCAAAGGATGGCTCATATTTTAACAAATACTATACAAATCTAAGTTTCACACTGTATACATAAATTAGAAGTATTCTGCCAAGTTTTATCCAAATCGCAAGATTTTTAATAAGAATTTCCAAAAAAAAGTATGTATGCATCCCAATTTTATTATAATTTGCAAATTTCAAATGTCTAAAAATTTGGGTTGTTTAATAATTTTTTGCTGTCCTGTGCATTTTTTCCATATAAAGCATTTTCAATCATTTTTTATATGGTAAAAATGCATAGGACAGCAAAAAATTAGTATAAAACAACGCGCATTTTCAGACATTTCAAATTTGCACATTATCATAATAAAATTGGGATGGATACATACTTTTTTTTTGGAAATGCTTATTAAAAATCTTGCCATTTGGATACAACTTGGCAGAATACTTCTAAATTATGTACATATACAGTGTGAAGCTTAGATTTGTATAGCATTTGTTAAAATAGGAGACATTCTTTAAACAAAACAAAAAATTCACAAAAATATATAGCAAGAAAAACATTGCGAATATTAAAAAAAAATATCACCGTATTAATTATTTAATGAATTATTTTATTTTCATTTAGCTTTGGTGGCTATTATTAACTAGTTTAATTTTATTGTACTGATTTTGAAATAAATGAAATGGTAATTTAATAAAAACTTCGTTTTATATATTTAATATGTATAACAGCATTTAATGCATATTTTTATTTACATATATTATTTATTTTATCAAAGAAGAATTAATAAAAAAAGTTAATACTGAGGCTAAATAGTTTGCTTTTATTTTATTAGTTTTCTTACCGGCTACTGAAATTTTCTAGTGAAACTTAAATATGTACTTATAGTTGAATATATGTAATTTGGTTATGATTCAAAACAACAATTTTATTACGTGTGTCAAGTTATCACTATATTTTTCTAAATATAAAAAGTTAAATAAGTTTTTCTTTCCACAACAAACTTACAACAAAAAAGTTACAATTAATGCCGTATTTAACTTTTAAATGAGTTGAAATAATGCATTATATAACAGTTGTGCATGTACATAACAGTTGTGCACAAAATAAAAGGAGTCAAAATATCGCATTCCTATTATTTCGTGGACCACTCTAAATAATATCGGGTAGATATTTCCAATCAATTTATAATGTCGATACCCCAGTTATTTCAATGTCTACATGCATTCAGAGTACATAAAATGGTGAAAAATTTGTTAAGTCATTAAAAATATGTTTGCTTTAAATTTGTAGAAAAACATATCGTCACCTGAAACTCAAAAAGACGTAACAAAAATCATTGTTAAAATGCAAAAAGTCATAACTAATAAAAAATTCAAAATTTACTTTTTGATTTATATAATGGATTTCAACGAGTTACAACTTCCCACATCATTTTATGAAAAAAATAATGAAAATATTAGTCACGCCTTTTTCAATCTCATTTACGATATTGTTACGTCTTTTTGCATTTCAGGTGACGATATGTATTTACTTATTTGGTACTTATTCAATAAGTGTCAGGGTGCCGGTAATGTTGTGGTATGATCCTTCTTTGTTATCAAACTGGTTCTTTAATTGACTTAATGCGCATTTGGCAGCTGTGCACTTCACTGATAGTTACGACCAATACCCCGGAATGAACTACTGTGACCCTTGCACGGCGCCCATCAGCCGTTCGTCGTCATTGAAACGCTTCAAAACGTATTGGAATCGATGTAGTAAAGCAGTAATCGCCAAGCTCCCAGTGAAGACATTCGCTATTAAAAATGCCTGACTAGGCACATAAAACTCCTCTTTGGCATGGTTGTTTTTCGTTGTGATCTTTGTGCTTTCAATGCCGGTATTTAGCCAAATATTCCATGCAATCTACGTACAAGAAATGAATAAGAGATCTAAAAAGGTACTAAACTTCCCGCTAAACACAACTCACCCTGCAAATTCCTCATCTTTGTTTCCGCTGTTTCCTCGTTAGCAAGTGACGCCAATTTGTCTGCATTGTCATGCATAATTTCTTGCAGAGATTTTAGTGCGGCCAGCGAGTCTTCACAATTTTTACTCAAGGCAGCACCATCCACCTTCTCACTGCTTCCCGTACTGGAAAGCGCACGCACATTATCAAGCAACGGAAATAGAACTTGCCAAACGAGCGTCTGTTATGTGGGCTGGTTCAACAAACGACCATGCCAAAAAGAATGCGGCAAAGAGCATTGTGAACCGCACTCGCGGCAGTAACTATGCAATTACCAACTGAAGACACATAGGTATCAGCGGCTCACTGAAATGGTGAAATATGTATACACATTCCTTTGAAAATAGTACCAAACAGAACACGCAATTTTACCTATGGGGATCATTTGCCTTCCAACATTTCTCAGGCAGAGAAGCGAGTATTATGCCAACAGCATTGATGTAGTTTTGTATCTCTTTTTGTGGTATCCATGAATAACCCTTCACAACAGCACCGGCACTCACAAATTCAATTGTTGTTTATTGGTTTAAAGCGAAACCTTCAGACCCTGCAATTCGTACTACTGCTGGAACGCACCTATAATATTTAATAAAGTTGAAATACATGTATATTGACTTACCTGCTTTTCAGTCGATAACGCTGTTATTCGCGATCCTCTTAATTGATTGTCAAGTTGCGACACCAAATTTTCAACCATGCCGGGACTGAGTCTATATAGCCTCCGGAACTCCGTTAACGTTAGTTCGAAAGGGTTATCGATTTCGCGAAGCCTACGCCGGTCAATTCTTGGCACGTTTAATGGCTGCTCATTATCGGTATCATATAAATATGATGCAATGTATGCAAATGCCATTTTTTAACACAATCTTCACAATTTTCTCAATTTAACTTCACAGCAAAATTAGTAAACAACAGCTTAACAAAGAAAAACTAGATGCTGTTAGCTTAACCACAAAAATAATTGTCACCAAACAGCTGACTGCGTTTGTTAACACTAAACAATGACAAATATGGTTAAAGTTGATACACAATCACTTAACCCCAAAAAAAGTTGTTAACTAGAGATAACAACGTGAAATGTGGTTAAAATAAGATTCAGAATCGCACTACAGGTGTCGTACGGTGATGGTACGTTTAAATCTGTCCCTGAGGCATTTATGCAGCTGTATACATTAAACGGTGATGTTGGTGGTAAAAATGTTCCCTTAGTGTACGGTTTGTTGCCCGACAAACGCCAATCGACGTACATGAAGTTTTTACAAGTGATTAAACGCCATGAGCCTTCTTGGGCACCTGAAATTATGATTTGCGATTGTGAGCTCGCTTTTCAAAATGCCGTGGTGAAGGTGTTCCCAAAATGTCAAATTCACGAGTGTTTCTTCCATCTACGTCAATGTTTTTGGAGGAATATCCAATCAAAGAAATTGGTAAATTTGTATAAATCGCCGCGAGATGTACGGGACTTCAAACAGCTCTTGGCTTGGCTTTTATGCCTCTGAATGATGTAGGTGATGCTTTCATCATGAAGCTGACTTATTCTATAAAAAGCACGAAGAACGACTCGAACCCTTTTTGGTTTATTTTGAGGAGTCATTGCTGGGCCATTTGTCGAGAAATGGTCAGCGGAAGAGTGCGGTGTATACAATTAAATTATGGAGTCAATATGACACCACAAATGCTTTGGAAGGATGGCACGGTGCTTTTAACGACAAAGCTGTTGGGGCACATGTGTCATTATGGAGGTTCATTAATTTATTCAAGGAGGAGGTCTGAGCGAAGCCACGCTTGTTTTGGGGGACACTGGTGCAGAAGCTCCAGTGAGGAGGAAGAAGTATCGCGATTATGATGCTCGGCTGAAACGAATTGTGCAGTCGTATGCGGATTCCGATATTCATGCATATTTGAAAAATGTTGCTAATTTAATTGCCGTTTAATGTATTATTGTTGATGATGGTGATTTTTCTGAGTAACTATTCATGCTAATTTTTTATTGTTATTGTTGCATAAATGCTTTGTGTGAATATTGCTATGCAGGAGCCGCTATTAGAAGGTTTTTTTTGGGTTGATTTAGACCGGGGGGATTTTTTTTGGAAATTTTTTTGTGAGAGATGTATGTACTATTGTTGATACTGGCGACATATCTTCGTAGTTGTTGCAGAGAGCCCTTATTGTGGGCTATTTTTCGGGTGATTTTGTCCGGGGGAATATTGTTGCGGGGGATTTAAACTGGGATTTTTTCTGGGGGATTTCGTCCGGGTGATTTTAGGATTAAGTCCTAGAGCCAAGTTCAGTAGCGTCGCACACACGACTTGTACGGAAAACCACTGATTCAGAGGTAAGCAATAACGCATAAAAAATTAGTTTTCTAACTTTAGAACTTTTCAGGCACATGTAATAAAAAATTTGCTGGTTCCACTATTAAAATGAACGTCTTAAAAAAAAAACAATATTTAATTTATTTCATTTTTCCTTTTCTACTGAATAATATGTTACATCATTTTATTTAAATTAAAGTTATTTTAATAAAAAAAACTCGATTACTTACAAATTATAAATTAAGGGCACAATAAACCTAAGGTCGCCGTGCACATCATCTAATAAATCTAATCTAATTATAAATTTAATTAGGAGCATTTTGAAAAACCGCAAAGCCTCCTTTATCTGAGGGAGCTTTCTGGGACTCCGAATTGCTCGTATACGCAAACGTCAAAGCTGTGAAGCTGTGTTTTTTGTGATCTGCTTAAATTTTGTGCTTTATAAAGCTGTTTACGCTTAATAAAGTAAATAAATTTAAAAAAAAGTGTTAATAAACTTCTGGTGCACAATTTAAATATCAAAATTTCCTGTAAATTTGATTAATTTAACTTGATATTCTTAATTGCATGTGCCGAGTATTTTGTTTCATATAATATATTGTTGTTGTACAATTGTTTTTGTTTGTGCACATTGATTTTGCTCTTTTTGGCTTTTTGTCATTTCATCTTTGTCACAGCTGTTTGCGTTGTGTTTATTAGGTGTCAAATATACAGTGCATTTAAAACTGTTCGCTACATAGCTTTCCTATTGATATTTACCAGCTGATTTGTTCTCTGTTTGATACATCGTTTTCAAAACTGTTTTGCGTTTTTGCTTCTAAAACCTAAAAATTAAATTTAATTTTAAACATGTCGTGTATTTATACCAATTGCCACGTTAAAAGCGACTCCTATGTGTCATGCTGGCTCTGTGATGGGATTGCCCATATAAAATGTGCTGGTTTGAGCGGTAGGGTGTTAGACGCTATTAACGACGGAAAGGGTCTTCGTTGGTCTTGTCAAAAATGTAGATCAACCGAAGTTGACTTATTTAAATTCTTTAGGCAGTCCAGAAATGGGTTTTCTGAGATTGGGAAGGATATGTCGGTGCTTGTTGAGAAATTTAAGCATTACGAAAAAATGTTTAGGTCTTTCACATGTGTCGACAACCCTCCACACTCTGAGGATAGCCGAGAAAGTAAAGGTAGACGTGTTATTAGTCCACCTAGAAAGACAGCCACTGAATCTAGTCGCGAAAATCCTCTATCCCAGTCCTTGGAACTTATCAATCTATCTTCTCCATGACCTCAGGCATTGGAGCCCCCGCTATCTAAAGCCATATCCACTAGGTCTACTTCCAAAAATAGTCAAACCGTTGATTTAACAGTATTGCCATCAACATCTGAAGCTGCACTGTCTAACTTAGTTCCTCCGAATAATTCGGAGCCCCGCACATCAGACATCATTACCAAAAAGTTGGTTGTAATTCCTCCGAGAAGATCAATCTTTGTCTCTAGATTTGC